GAGCATCGGTGTGTGTGTGCGTGTGCGCACATGCGCGATAAGTCTGGATGGCTGTGGGTTTGGATGGCATTTGGAACGCCAAGACCAGCCACATGCTTCCTCTAAGCGAGGGAGGTAGTTTACTTCCAGGGACAAAGTTTGGTGTAGAAACCATGGAAATGGCCCCGCATGGGTACAAGGCAAGGTTAACACGAGGTTAGGTCCGATCACATACAAATTTGGGGTAGGTGAGGCAGCATTGGACAAATACATTGATCACATCAAAGCTGCTACCTTGCAAACAGGACAGGAGCAAAACATAATCAGCTCCTCAGATTAGGTAAAAAGACAGTCCGAAACCTTCGGCTCTTCCCCCTTCGTCTAACAAAGAGACCTCAGAGTCCGAGATGGACACAGCCGACGTCACAACCTTGATACTGTTACTTCCTAAAGAGAAGGAATTTCTTCCATGATGCTCCATTCACAAGAGACAGGGCCACAGTCTGGTATGCGCCACCCAAGTTCGACTCAGAGTTGGAGGAACCGAACTTGGGGCGAAAACATCCCAGGAAAAGCTATGAGGAAGAGAACAGGCCTACATCCCTGGATGTGGTGATGGGAGTGAGGCCAGGTGGATCCCACTGAATATGAGTTCCCTGAATGGGGCTGTTAACCTGGGCTATTCAGGGAGTCCTGGCTGACAGATATAAAGAGGAGTCTCAGGGATTGGCTCTGAGCTAGCTGGTCAGAGTCCACGCACTGAACACACGTAAATAAAGGATGACTTGGTAATGGGATACCGGCCTCTACGGAATTATTTCAGTTATGAAGAAACCAACTACTGTATTGTTTGTCCACAGTTTCTCAAATTGGTGACATACAGAGGTTCACAACTGGGAAACAGTTCTCGTAAATAATCACTCAATGCCAAGGTAGCACTCTTTGCTCCAATTTAATTACTCCACAAGAAATATTTTTCCTGATACAGTGGAAAAAAGTATGCTGTGTTTAATGTGGCAAGAATGGAGCTGGGCCAGATAGAAGGGAGCTAAGGATTGGTGAGAAAAAAAACAGTAGCTGAAAAATGAAGCATCAGTCAGGGTACATCTCTCTAATAGATCCCAAGATTACTTGATTGGAAAAAAAAAAATTAAGATGAAGAAAAAAAACTGTCCTTCTGATAGGTGTCAGGTAGAAAACACAATTAAGAACCAGGCTTCAGAAGGTTCAGAAGATAGCTGAAACACCAACTAAAAGGAAAGGGGATCTATGGAAAGAGATTGACAGCTAATATTCAAGGTAATCCCAAAGTGCTCCAAAGGCACATAAGTGATAAAATGGTAGTAAGGACGACAGACTGATTAGGAATTTAAAAAAAAAAGGATTTACACATGGAATCAGGGGCATAGCTGAGGTATTCAATGAATACATTGCATCCTACTTTACCAAGAAAACAGATGCTACCGAGGTGCTGGACACAGAGGAAGAAATTCATTCACTAAAGTTGGTCTTAGATAGACCGTCTGTTCTTAAGTGGAAACTGTGGAGGCATTGGTTATTCTCAAGTCTTCCTTAAATTCAGGAGTGATGTCAGAAGACTGGAGAATTACAAACATTATGTCCTTGTTTAAAAAGGGTTTAAGAGATAACTCCAGAAGTGACAGATCAATCAATTTAACTTCTGTGGAGGGGAACCTTCCAGAAACAGTAATTTGGGATAAATAAAGAGTCACAGAAATAAGTTTGGGTAAATTAAGAAAGCCCACCATGGGTCTTTTCAGGGAAGATCATGCTTTACTAACTTGCTGGAAATTTTTAAAATATGGGAGAGATGATTAATGGGACAAAGTTGTTGATATGGCATACATGGATTTCCAAAAGCTGTTTGATACCATACCGCACAACAGACTTGTGAAAAAATTTACAACTCATGGAATAAAAGCAGTAGCAACATAAACACAAAATTAGCTGAGTGATAGAAAGCAGACAGTAATAGTTTGGGTTTTTTTGGGCTGGAGGAAGGATTGTAGTGACGTTCACATGGGGTTGGTACTGGGACCTTGCTTTTCATGACATATATTAATGATAAAGACCTTGGTGTATAGGGCACAATTTCAAAATTTGCAAAGCATATAAAATTTGGTAACATTGTGAGCATGAGAAACAGTATAAAATAAACACTACACTGCACGGTGTGTAGGAGCAAACAGACCTGGGTGTATACACACAAAAGTCATTAACAGGCAGTTACAGATGTAATAATGTACAATGAGGTATGATGACTACCAGATCTCTTGTTTAAGAATCCTGCAGGAGATAATGATCACAACATGGTAGAATTTCAAATTCAGTCTGAGTAGGAGCAACTTGAGTCTCAAACCAGTGTCCTCAAATTATACATGAACAATTCCAATGCCATGATGATAGTATTGTCTAAAGCAGAGTGAAAGGGTCAGTGGATGAGCAGTGTAAGACATTTAAGCATGTATTCCATTCCAGCCAAAAAGAACTCAATAAGAAGGATGGACAACCCGTGATTAATAGTAGCAATCAAGGAGAGCAGCCAATCAAAATTGAAGCAAACAAAACAGCACTCTAGTAACAAAAACAAAGTTACTGGAAAAGCTCAGCAGGTCTGGCAGCACCTGTGAAGGAAAAAAACGTTTCAGTTCCAGTGACCCTTCCTCAGAACAGCAACTTTGTTTTTGTTCCTGATTTGCAGCATCCACAGTTCTTTCGGTTTTATTTAGCGACCTCTAGTGGTAGACCAAACAATTGGGAATTTGTTTTCAAAAAGAACCAGCAGCAGATGACTCAACAGTCGATAAAGGGGGAAAAAACCAATAATGAAAGGAAATTGACAAGAAATATCAAAACACAGCAAAAGCTTCTAAGTATATATATAAAACAAAAGTAGCTAAAGTGAATGTGGGACCCTTGGAGGATGCAACGGGGAAATTAGTTACAGATAACAGGGAGATAGCAGATAATTTGAACATTCAAACAATTTAAATGTTTTGCATCACTCTTCATAAACATCCCAAAGATAACAAATAATCAAGGTGCAAATGGGAAGAAATTGAATTGGACAGAAAACAGGTTTGCAGTTCAAAAGAAATTCATTGGTAGATTTCTGGGATGAAGTGGCTACGTTTAAAAAAACGAGGGATGACCTTAGAAAAAGATACAAGATTCTGAGGATAAATATCTGGAATTCTCTACCTCAGAGAATTGTGGAGGTGAGATTACCTAAAGTATTTAAAAAGAGGAGGTTGATAGATCTTTGAATTACCAGGAATTATGGGCTATGATGGAATGGCACAGAGGAGGAGTTGGGACCTGGAGATCAGCCATGGTCTAGATGAATGACAGACAGACAGACTTGAGGGACCAAATGGCCTACTCCTGCTCCTATTTCTTATGTTCTTAAAAGGTGGTAAGACTGGTGGAGAGCAGGTAACTAAGCATCCAGTACGCTAGGCTTTGTTTATAAGGGCAGAGAGTACAACAGCAAGGAGGTCATCCTGAACTTGTATAAGACACTAGTTAAACCTCAGCTGGAGTACTGTGTACAGTTCAGAGCACCACACCCAGTAAAGATATAAATGTACTGGGCTGAGTGCAGAAGGTGTACGTGAATGATTTCAGGGATGAACTCTGAAGATAGTTTGAAGAGTTTGTGACTATTTTCCTCAGATAGGAGAAGATAAAAGTGATAAAAGTGTTCAAAATTATGAGGGGTCTGGACAGAGTAGATTGGGAGAAACTGTTTCCACTTAGAATAGAATAGAGAAAGAGAAACACAGGTTTAAAGAGATTAATGAAAAAAGAAAATGTAATGTGAGAATCTGGAATGTATTACCTGGAGGTTTGGTGGAGGCAAGTTCAATCGAGGCATGAAAGAAGCCATTAAATTATTATTTTAACTGGAACAATATGCAGGGTTACAAGAAAAGGCAAGATTGGTACTAAATCATAATGTTTATTCAGAGGGCAAGTGCAGACATAACAGGGTGAATGCCCTCATTTTGCACTCTGACGATTTTGATCCCATGTCAACTCAACTGTTTCCATATTTATCATGGATTTCAGCTCTACGAAAATGACAAGCACTCACTTGTCAACAGTCTTCAATATTCTTCGCATGCAATGTAAAGTTTGTATAAAATGACAAACGAAGCCTGACAAAAGTTGAAATTACAGATAGATTTCTGGTGACAAAAATTAGCACACTGTGATTGAAATCTTATTCCAAGCATAGATATCCAAAGAATTGCCTATGATGTAGGAAATCAATTAAAGAAACAGCTAACTTTTCCTGTGCAGATTGCCTGATTTCTATTTTTTGCTTTTGAGAAGGAAAGAGATCTAGTTTGGCCCTTGTCTCATTTTTTTTTAAATGAGCAGGTGAACAAAGGTTTTGAAAATTGAAACTAACGTCAAGGAACTGAACCTTAAAGAAAACAAAGATCTTCACCACGTCTGGACAAACAAACTTAAATAAGAATTCCAACACGATAAACCATTTTTCCTACATGAAAAGGGTATTTTTCTTATTCCTGTGATTTTACATTATGGTTAGCATTGTTGCTGTCACTTTTAGTACATGCAACTGAACTGATCAGGAGTCGTCCTCAGTTTCCTATTAAAAATTTGGTTCTGCATATCCTTTAATAGGAATGCAGGACAATTGGTGAAGAGGAAATGAACAAGGTGTCAATTTTCAGGTTGAGACATTCTGAAATGCAAACTCTTAAGGTATATACTTTGACCGAAGACGAAGCAATGTGATAATTCATACGAAAGATGATCGAGAACAAGTCGCAATTATAACTGCAAATAACAAAAGGAACTGTCACTTGATCTGAAAAATGCATACCTGGACATGGACAGAATTATTTTCAAGATTTATGCATTTATGAGAGAAGCGCAGCAGTTATCTATGTCTAAATGGCGAAGATAATCTTGTCACAGAAAATGCAAATTATACCATTCATAAAACAAATTAGTGTTTGGATTACCTGTGTTATCAAAAATCACCTTGGGTTCCTGTTGCTGCAGTTCAAGCCTTCCTACATCTTCATCCATGGTCTACAAACTTCATTAATCACTGCTAAAACTGTTAAAGAACAAAAAATCTTTAAGGAGTCAGTTGTGACTTGCATACAATTATGATTAGTTTCTCACAACATCCTTCCACAGATAGAAGTTTACAATCATTGAAGATCAACCCCAAAGTTAGGACATATTTGACAACTCTGCCTTTAATTACCCACTGGGCTTTATTCATACTTTGAACCATATCATACAAAGCAGTGACAATGTTAATGCTAGTTTAATGCTATGGACTTGCCTGTAGGCAATTAAACAAAAAAACTATATATACATATTTCTTACCATCTTTACCAAATAATTAACTATTGCTGACCATAGAATATTAAAACCTATTGCTAGAACAGATTTATTCAGGCTCCACTGCATCTGAATTTGGCAGATTCCAAACACTGATGCAATGCATTTTTTTTTGCCTATGCTATTTTAATGACTGCGTACCAATCTATATTAGCTACACACTTAGCAAAATTTCCGTTGACCTTGTAATTCCATGGATCCCAATAATTTTTCACAATAATATCAGAGACATCAAAAGAAATAAAAGCCTTAAATAGGATAAAACTTGATGTTCACTTCGAAAAATTTCTGCAGTCAAATCCCCAAAGTCAACTCTATTTTTCGAGGAGAACAAGCAATGACGAGTCACTTTTTCAAACAGAGGAAAAACAAAAATGTTATTGAGGCAATATGTAAATGTTTAGCATTTTCCTGAACTAACCATTCAAACCAAACACCTTCAACCTGAAATTCACGCTGGATTATCTTAGAACTGCAAGCAATCTTGAGATTTCAGTTTCAAGTGATTTGTTTAGATGTACATCCCCTGGATACTTGAATTACCTACCATTAAAAACATTTTCTCAGTGTGTATAGAAGTAGATCACAGGCTGTGGCATTTAATCCAGGCACATCTAAATGAAGGAGTCACCTGTTAAAAGGAAATAAAGTTCAATTCAATTTTGCCATATACTTCCATCCTTCAAAATCTACGTATTTGGTATTCCCATGTAATAGATGTTTCGTTTGAGGGCAATGAAAGGCTGAAGTGGACATTCTTCACAACATTAGAGAGTAACATCCTGACATGAATCTTGATCAGATAGCAATCGCTTTACTCCTGAAAATACAATGGAACTGAAAAGATGTAGTACTTGCCTCCCATTGTTTCTGGAGTAATTGGAACCAGCTGGATCTTGTTGACTATGAGGTCCTTGATTGGGGTTGTTAACCTGGGCCAACCAGGAAACTCCTGGCTGACTAACATAACCAGAAGATTTAGAATCTCTTCAGTGCAGCGGACTGCCTCTGAGCTGATTGGCCACAGCCACCGTCCTGTGCACAAGTAAATAAAGACTTGGTGACGGGAAAAAAAATAGGACGTGTCTGAAGAACATTCGCTTACAGGAGTCATCTTGGAGCTGGGGTAAGTATTTCTAGCATCATGTCTTTATTAGGGAAGCTTCACTCATTTGATCCTGCTCTTGAAGACTGGGCCCAGTATGTGGAAAGAATGTGACTTTTTTTTAAACTGGGGAAATGACATTGGGACCGATGAAAAGCAACAAGTAATCTTTCTGACTGCTTGCAGACCTGCAGCATTTTCAGTTATAAGGGGCTTAACTTTCCCAGAGGCACCAGACACACAAACTTTGCAAGAGTTGACAGAATTGGTTAAGGAATACTATGACCCCAAACCTCCTCTAATTCGGAGATGCTATTGGTTTTATTCAGCTGTTAGAGGAGTCCATATTGGGATTTTTGACACATTTAAGATGCCTGGCAGAGACATGTGATTTTGGGTTAACGCTGAATGAGATGTTGAGACACTGTCTGGTGGGATTAATGATGTAACCATGCAGAAGTGCCTATTAGCTGAAGCCCAACTGGACTTCAACCAGGCACTACAACTGGCTTTGCCATTAGAAAATGCGGCAAGTACAGCATGGGAGCTACAGGGCATCCCAATGGAAGTGGACTGTCCAACTGAGCTTGGGGAACACCACTTGAATGTAGGCAAATGCAGAGCCTCACACAGGGCATATCTTGAGTAGGGGAACTCTAGGCCAGCCCACAGCAGAACCCCACAACAAAGCTGAGCCTCGGCCAAGTGACTAAAATGTTCTTCAGGATCTGGGCTGGCAAGCCATTATACTTACTGCTGGTTTGCAGACTTGAGACTATTCAGGAGCCGTAAAAAAGCTTGACTTGAGTAACAAAAACCCATAGGCCAGTACCCAGGACAGTGCACACCCTGGAAAGTCTCCCTACACATGGGATGGAATCATTGATTTGCTCAGCGATATCCAAATCACAATTGATGATAATTAATGTTTAGTTAAATGGTCACTCAACTCCTATGGCAGTAAATACCAGCGCAGCTGTATCTGTGGTTGCGGAATCTGTCTCCAATATGATTTGCTCGGGACTCCAACCTTTAAATTTGCGCCACACCTCAGCCAGACTGAGAGCATACACTGGGAAACTGTTGCAGATTAAGGGTATCAATTTGGTTCCAGTTGCCTGCGAGAAGCAGTTGATGCAGTTACCACTGATGGTAGTAAAAGGCTCGGGCCCAAGCCTATTGGGGCAGAATTGGTTGAGAAAGATTCACCTAGAGATTGGCTCAACGGTGTTATATTAGAAAATGGCTGCTTCAGTGAAATCCTAGAGAAATACCCAGGAGTATTTCAGGAAGGGCTTGGGACTATCAAAGGGGCTAAAGCCACTTTACATGTTGATCAAGCAGCAATTCCAAGATTTTACAAGGTCTGCCTAGTGTCATTTGCCTTGCGGGCAGAAGTAAGGGCGGAAATCAGGAGGGTGGAGAGCAAAGGAATCATCAAACCAGTCCAGTTTGCAGAATGGGCAGCACCAGTTGTACCGATTGTGAAGCCTGATGGCTCAGTTCACCTTTTGTGGGGATCTTAAGCAAATGGTAAACCACTTCTCATAGCTGGATATATACCCGATCCCTCACATAGAGGGCTTGTACACAAAGTTGGGGGGTGCTGTTCTTTACGAAGCTGGACAAGAGCCAAACCTACTGCAATTGCAACAGGATGAGGAGACCCAGAAGTTTGCTACAATTTATACCCATAAGGGTTTATACCCATATACAAGACTGCCATTTGGGATATCATCAGCCTGCATCCCTTTCCAATGGACCACGGAGAACATTTTACAAGGATTACCCCAGGTTGCCATTTATCTGGATGATGTACTACTAACAGGGAAGACCAATAAAAAGCACTTGGAGAACTTGGATATAGTGCTTAAATGTTTCTCCCAGGCAGGCATATGCCTTTAGAAGGGAAACCACGTGTATTCCAGGCATCCCAAGTGACTTACTTTGTTTATAGAATCAACAACAACGGATTACACCCATTGGAAGAGAAAGCAAGAGCGATCAAAGGTGCCCCAGCTCCCACATCTGTAATGGAGCTTAGCTCTTTCCTTAGGTTAGTGAATGATTACGGAAAATTCATACGTAACCTGGCTTCCATCTTAGCACCTTTACACCTGCTATCGAACAAGGGCCAGTCTTGGAAAATGGTCATGAAGCCAAGTAGCCTTTAAGGAAGTGGAAAAGCAGCTATTGTCATCCAATGTGTTGGCCCACTATGGTCTGAAATGAGAGGTAATGCTGACATATGATGCCTCCCCATATGGTATCAGGGTAGTGTTCACTCACCAGTGGCCCAAATGGAGAGGAACACTCAATAGCATATGCTTCCTGGACTTTGGCTGATGCCAAATGCAAATATGCCCAGATGGACAACGAAGGTGTGGCGGTCATCTTCAGTGTGAGGAAGCTCCACCGGTACCTTTTTATGGATGAGAATTTTTAATTGTAACAGACCACAAATCCCTGCTCGGGGTACTGAAGGAAGACAAGGTGGTGCCGCCCATAGTTTCCAGTAGAATTCCGCGTTGGACCCTCCTCAGTGTGTATAAGTTAGAACACGGTCCACGAAGCTAAGAAGCAAATGGAGATGCCCTGAGCTGCCTCAAACTTGCAGATAATCCACCAGTGGTGCCTTGTCTGGAAGAGCCTGTTTTGGTTTTAAAGTTCCTGGACACCCTTCCAGTCACCACTGACAATATTTGACTGTGGTCACAAAAAGGTGTCCTTGCAAAACTAATGTGGCTAGTGGTAATGGAGCAAAACAAAGGGCCATTACAACCAAGATTATAACCTTTCTGGATCTGGCGAGAGCAGATCACTGTAGAGGGCAGTAGATTGCAATGGGGAACAAGGGTGATTGTCCGGTGTAAAGGTTGCCATCAGATACTGGCTGAACTCCACCAGGGGTTTCCAAGGAGAAAATGCTAGCAAGAAGCTATATCTGGTGGCCAGGTTTGGACATTGATGTAGCTATATTGATGGGGCAGTGCCTAGAGTGTCAACAAGGACAAAAACTGCCACCAGCGGCACCCAACGTTAGTGGGAATTGTATTTATTCCACTCCTTCAACCCTTTGCCCTGGTTATTTAAGGTGTCACTACCTTCTACTTGAAGTCTGATGCAAAATATATATTCAACTTCTCCACATTTCTTGGTTCCCTGCTATGGTTTCCCTAGCTTAATTCTCTAGTAGGCCTATGTTCTCTTTAGCCACTCTCAATCTTTCTATATAGTTAAAGAAACCTTTTAATGTCCATTTTTATATTAATTGTTAGTCTACCCTCAATTTATTTTACTTTTTTTTTTTGAAAAAACCCTTTTAAAAGTTTATGAAATTTTCCAATCCTCTGGGTCATTAGTTTTTGACACATTGCATTTTTTCTTCAATTTAATACTATCCTTGACTTCCATGGGTAACAAGGCAAATTAATGGTTCTCTGCTTAAATGCACATGGGTGTTTGAAACAAAATAAGTGAATTAACGGCAAAAATAGTGAATATGATGTAGCCAATATGGAGATGTTTACAAGGAGATCAAATCTGGGAAATAAATATTCAGGGGGACATGACTCCGCGAAAGGACAAGCACGATGGGAAAGGTAGTGGGTAATTTTGCTAGTAAGAAATGAAATTTGTACAATAGCAAGAAATGATCTCAAGATGTTGAATTCACATGGATGGATGTAAGAAACAAAGGGAAGAAGATCTATAGGCATGCTAACAGTAGCTGTACTGTAAGACATGGAATAAATCAGAAAATAATGAGGGTATGTTTTAAAAAAAATACTTATTATTTATGGGTAACTTCAGTCTTCATCTCAATCAAATTGAAAAAGTTAGCCATGAGGAAGAATTCAGAGTGTATTTGGGACATTTTCCATTAACAGTGTATTATAGATCCAACCAGGATCTGGTTATTTTGGATTTCATAACATATAATAAGGCAGGTTTAATAACTGATCTCAAAGCAAAAGATCCCTGAGGAAACTGTGGCCACAATACAGTAGAATCTGGGATTCAGTTTGAGTGTGAGAAACCTGGGTCAGAAACAACAGTCAAACATAAATGAGTGCAAGGTTCAAGGCTCTTCGAATGATACCCCTGGATCCCCATACCTGCCTCACCTGCAAACACACCTTATAACTCTGATCACAGACTAAATTTGAATTACCTAGTCTATGGGGTGTTTCTAGAGCAGAGTGTCCAGGTTACTTTCTCCCTCCCAGATGTGACTTAAGTGCCTTCAGCTTGGATTCCAGCTCCCTAACTCAGATCTGAAATTCCTCAAACTGCAAACATTTACTATAGATCTGTTTGCCGTGGATCAAATTGGGATGTTCCTGCTGTGCAGTGGGATCTACTAGACATCACCTGTCTGCAATCAGCATGACATTTTTAAAAATTAATTAATCATTCTTAGTATCCTTGTTCTTCACATTTTTTTGTAGTTTTTTTATCCACCAGCATCAATCTTTTGTTTAACAAGCTATTTTTTAAGAAAAAGGGGGAAAAATGACTGCAGACTTAAACATAAATTGAAGATACTATCTCTACTTTAAAGACTAGAAATACTCAACAATCCTACTTGCTACGTTACCTGAGACAACAAGGTGCAGGGCTGGATGAACACAGCAGGCCAAGCAGCATCATAGGAGCAGAGAGGCTGACGTTTCGGGCGTAGACCCTTCATCAGAAAAGGGGGAGGGGAAGGGGGTTTTGAAATAAATAGGGAGAGAGTGGGAGGTGGATAGAAGAGGGATAGAGGAGAGGATAGGTGGAGAGGAAACAAACAGGTCGAAGAGGCGGGGATGGAGCCCCTAAACCCCACCTCTTCCTCCGTTACATTGATGGCTGTATCGGTGCCGCCTCATGCTCCCACGAGGAGCTCGAACAGTTCATACACTTCACTAACACCTTCCACCCCAAC